CCACCTTTACTTTAATTCACCCACCTTTACTTTACTTCACCCACCTTTACTTTAATTCATCCACCTTCACTTTAATTCACCCACCTTTACTTTACTTCACCCACCTTCACTTTAATTCACCCACTTTTACTTTAATTCACCCACCTTTACTTTAATTCACCCACCTTCACTTTAATTCACCCACCTTTACTTTAATTCACTCACCTTTCCGATGGCGGCGTGGCTGAACACGTAGCGCTGCATGTAGTCGCCGGAGTTTCGCGTGAACGTCTTCAGGTGGCGCCTCACCTCCGCGCAGAAGAACTGCGACGCGGGCTCGCTGCTCTCGCCCAGCAGTCGCGGCATGTACTTCTCTGGTAAGCCGTTACGCGAGATGGCGATGAGGCACACAGCCTGCGAGGAGGAGGAGGAGGAGAGAGAGGAGGTTATCATGAGAGGAGAGAGAGGGAGGGAGGGAGAGACGGAGGGAGAGAGGGAGGGAGAGAGAGAGAGCAGTCGCGGCATGTACTTCTCCGGTAAGCCGTTACGCGAGATGGCGATGAGGCACACAGCCTGCGAGGAAGAGGAGGAAAGAAAGGAGGTTTATCATGAGAGAGAGANCCTACCCACACACACACCCTCTCCCACACTCCCCCACCACCTCACCCCCTCCCCTCCCCCTCCCCCACCCTCGTACCTTCTTCAGGTAGCCCGTCGCGTCCTCCTTCAGCAGCCGATCCAGTATCTTGCCCAGCAGTCCCTCCTTCGACTCCGGCAGCGTCTCGATTCGCGCCGTCACGGTCGTGAACTCGCCGAACACGCGCAGCTCCTCGCACGCATGCGCGAGCCACAGCGGGATGCGCGCCGCCGGGTTGCGCACCAGCAGCGCCATCTGCTGGCTGTCCAGCTTCTGCGGAGAGAGAGAGACGGAGGAGTGAGGGGGTCCCTCTCTCTACCCTGTTTGTTGTAGTTTTCCAGGTATTTCTCGGTGAAGGTGATGATGCTCCCTCCCCTCCCACCCCTCCCTTTCTCTCCTCCCTTTTTTCCTCTCTACCCTCCCCTCGCCCGCCTCCCTCCCTACCCTCTCCTCCCTCGCCTCCCTCTCCGTACCTTGTTGTAGTTTCCCAGGTATTTCTCGGTGAAGGCGACGCACGCTCCCT